CTCATGCTTGCCAGGCAGGCGCTGTGCTGCTGAGCTAAATCCCCAGCCCTGATGTGTACTCTTTGAAGCAAGGTGACAGGACAGTGTTATCCCACCAAATAAAACGTGTGAACCTGGGTGGGATGGAGAGCCCTGCTCCCTGCTGTTAGCTGAGATCAAACCTGTAGATAAGAGGTTATGACTTCCCAGGGCATAAAACAGTACATATCAGAGCTTATGCACCGATCCCAAAACCTTAGATACTACCTCAAATTGTGTTAAACAGATCACTCTTTCTGCATTTCTTTCTCTCTGCATATTGCAGAGATGATTTCAGGCCTCCTACATAACCCAGCTCACAGCCCTCATGTACTTCCCACCATTCTCACAGTGACTCATCCTCAAGCCACAACCTTCAGGAATTAATAAAACCAGGTTTGGCCATCAGTCAAGGCCTTTGTTCCAGTTAGCCATTATCCTAGCTGGACTTAGGGCCCTTGGCTCCCCACAACTACAAATATACCTGAATGTCTTTATTCTCACCATGGTAGATTGGAATTAACTCACTAGAAGTCCAATAACTTTCCCATGGGATTATAAGTATAAACTTAATGGGCAGCGATGAGGATCAGGAAGGGCTCTCTATAGATAGTTACCTGGGTGTTTCCAAGCATTTATGTTGCATTACATTTCTTCCTTAAATTATACTTCTTTGGTTTCTAGCTTTCAGGCATTATATTTTTATTTCCTATTATAATAGACAGGAACTTAGCTCACTTACATTCCCAACCTTTCTCTTTTCTCCATCCTATTAGTTTTCCAAACTTGGAGAACTTATTTCTCAACATTGTCTTCATTCTGGTACTGGATATTTGTATTGCATCTTGAAATAACATAGAGGGAATTTTTGGACATCTGTGTTAGACTTGATAAAGAATTATTACTTTTTAAATAGATATAAAAATAAAGATGAATCCAAGGTAATAAGGGAAAAATTAAATATTGAATTTGTATAAAACTGAGATTTTAAAATCTTTTCCAGTATTTAAATGAGAAGTTTGAACTTGCCTACAGGAACATAGCCTTTTTGAATAATATTTTAAGCTTGAATAGTTACCTGTAGTTTCTTGTCAGGACTTTCAAAATATGATCTTTTAAAATTCATAGTAGTAACTATGGAAGGCTGAACAATGACCTCCAAAGATAACCAGGTTCTAATCACCCAAATTTGTGAATGTTGCCCTTTATGGTAACAGGGATTTTGCAAATGTGATTAAGGATTTTCAAACGGAGAAATTATCTTGAATTATCTGGGTGAGTCCTAAATGTAATCACAGATTTCTCATATAATGTAGGCAGAGGAAAATTTTAATACAGCAAAGACAGAGGAAGAAAGCAATGTGGTAATGGAATCAGAGAAAGAAAAGGCAACGTCTTCCAAGGCTATGAGCCATGGAAAGAAGTTATCCTCCCTAAACTAGAAAAGGCAGTGAAATAGATTCTCTCCTCGGTCCTCCAGAGGTTGTGTAGCCCTGATGATACTGATTTACACTGAGAGAAACCTGTTTCAGATTTATGAGAATGAATATTTGTTGTTATAAGTAACCCAATTTTGGTAACTTGTTAATCCAGTTACCACTCATGAGAAACTTTGCACAAATTGGTAATAAAAAATTGTAAAAATCCTCTTTTGCAACCATTCCAGTTTCACGATGATTGATATATCCAGAGTCCAGCAGCTCTCTTTTTTATTGACGAACACAATGATGTAATTGAATGTGATAAGGCAAATGGATTTTTAGTCCAATTGAACTGTTTTCTAGAAAGTATTTTAAAATAATGAGGCTTAAATTTGCAAGACATGCATACATCGTTGAATCAATCAGATCAGAATTTCTTTGAGGGCCATAAAAAGGCACATCAGCTGCAAACAATCAGAAATATCTGATGTCTGTGAAGTCAGAATTTCAGAGCCACAAGAAGTGCACCATCCAAGAGCCCAGGCTGTCGGTGATATATTAAGCATAGCCAAGTAGATATTGGATCATGTGGACATCTACTTCAGAAACCAGCTCCTGAGCATATTGCTCTTCACCTTAGGTAAGAGTGCAGTCAAACTTCTGATGTTTATCATCTACTTCACCTATAAAGACTCTTCCTTCTTTGGAGCCTGCTTCCCAGAAACTCTGACAAAGGCTACTAGCAGTTGCAGACAACCAGTTCAGGTGCTCCTTTACTTCCCCAAAGTCAGAAAGGATCAATATTCTGTTTTGCAACTGTCAACCATTCAAAAATACAATTAGAAGGTTCTTGTCTATCTTATCCCTCCCACCACTGCTTGACAGAACAGGAGAGAGAGAAGGAGAAACCATCTGGAGCAGAGAACAGTGTGGGGAAACAAGCTAGTCTCAATTATCCGTGACTTTCAGCCAGAGTTTTACAGAAGAAAATGAGAGGTCAGCAACCTACTGAAGTTCTTGCTTTGCACAGATCTACAGTAAAAAAAATTAAAACTGAAATTATTCAAGTAGTTGAAATAACTATGTTGAAGGCTACCACTTAGATCTAGAATGCCTTCCCAAAGGCTCATGTATTCAGAGGTGGGGGTCTTAGAAATTGATTGAATCATGGATGCAGAAGTGAATGTAGTGTTAGCAGGTAGGGTCTGGTCAAAATAGGCCAATTTTGGGGGGTGTGACCTGGAAGGGTACGTATATCTCCCTCCCAGGATCTTCCTTTCTCTCCTCTTCCTGATCTTGAGGACATGAGCAGCTTTTCTCTGCTCCGCTCTTCTTCCATGCAGTTTCTCCCATAGAGCTGGCTGACCATGATGAGACCTCTGCAAGTGTAAACCAAAATAGTTCTCCTTTAAGTTGTGGATTGCCAGGTATTGTAGCTCACTGATGAGAAACTAAGACAAGTGTCTAGATTTGAAGCAAAACAGATTCAGAGATTCTCAGCTGTTTGATATGTTAGCTTTTCTAATAGACCAGAGTTGGATGAAGATTAGATAAAGCCACAAATGGAGTAATAGGAGAACGAAAGGAAAAATGACCCAGATCCACCAAAAATTTCTTTAAGCCAATGTTAGACTGCGATTTGTACTAGTTTCTTAGAGATAAGAAATTAATACTAAAGCCAAACTGATAATATTTCAAATTTTTGTGTTTATATACTTTTATATATGTATATTGGTGTGCATTTTCATACACTCATAAGTTTATTAATAATTTATATTCTTTCTTATTTAAAAAAATTGAAGCCGAAATGTGTATATTTCTGATTAAGCTGATTGCATAGTAAAATGGATATAGAATAGTTCATTCTGTAGTGGAAATTCAGAATAGTCATTCTCATCTATTGTCTTCAGATAATCATGTTAAAGAACCCATTCATTAATATTTTTTAAGTGTCTCTTTCTTTCAACTTACTTCTGAACCCCAATGATGATGTAGATTCTGGTCCAGGGAAATTTAGGTAGTAAAATTCCTTCTTGTAAGCAATGTTCTAGACTAGGTATGTTATACATTACATGATCCATTTCTAAAGCTATAAACACTTTAGTCCTTTCTGTAGAATCTTCATGAAATATGTGCCATTATCTAAGGGTTTGCTTATTTATTAGTGTTTTTTTCTATTTCAGCTGCTTATAACACTTGATACCAAAGGAGGCAGAAGGGTTTGTTAGGAGAAGCAGCCCTTAGAAAAAGTTTTTAAATTTTCAAATTTTGCCACTTAGAACCTGAATAACGTTGGATACATTATTCAGATAATTTGATGAACCTTCATTTCCCTACCTAAAGATGAGAATAATAGTAACCTATTTTGCCTCTTGTAGAGTTATTATAAATATCATCTCCTGTATCCTGTCATAATATTAATCTTGTTATTCTAGTTTCTTGATTTATTATTTCTTATTTAATAATTACTTTACCACTGTAGACTGTAAGGGCAAGACCCAGGTCTTATACCTACAGTGTATCACAGTGTTTGGCCAAAAGAAATCTGTTGAATGAATTATCAAGTGAGATATTTATGAATTAACCTTAATAACTGCAGAGTGCTATACAGAAAATTGATATTAGATTTTTCCTATTATTTTTATAGGAAATGTGTTTTGGGTGGCAAGTAGCTTATAATTTTACTTTAATACAAAAAGAGGTCATTTCTAAACAGCTCCTGTTATAATAGATTATTTGGAAAGATGACTACACTTCTTTCTATCCCTGTCTCCAGTTCTTTGCAATATGACTTTATCCCTCCTTCTAATAAGAAGTAGAGTCTGGCTTGGCCTGGTGACTTTCTTTGACCAATAGTGTATGGCAGAAGTGATGGTGGATGACTTCTAAGCCTTGGCCTCAAGAAGCTTTTCACCTTTCAGCTTCAGCCCCTGGAATACTGCCCTGCAGCTGTATGGGCAGGAGGATTTTGACCTGCTGAAAAATGACAGGCTGCCTGAATTAAAGATGAATTTTTCCAGTGGAAGCCTCTTAGACCAAACAGTGTGAACTGCCAGATATATTTTGGAGACTATTTTAGGCTATCTAGTCTTGTCAAGCTGTTTAATGAATCAAAATTTGCCACATCAGTGACCTAGACAAGACCAGTAGAAGAATGGTCTAAATTGTGTTTTTCAAATCCTTTGGGAAGAGATTTCCTTTTATCTTTCTTTCTCAGGTTGGGTGCCCCTAAAGTTAAAAATCTGCTTTTCAACTAGAGTTTTTGTAATTCTCCAAATAGAATATTGTGAATTTTTATTTTAGAATGTATTTTGCCACAAACTTAAATATGTTGCTTTGAATATGCATTGTACACATAGAATATTCTGTGCAGTGTCACAACTGTAAAAATAATGATATAAGTTGGGTGTAGCGATGCCTGCCTATAATACCATGATTCTTGGAGGCAGAGGCAGGAGGATTGCAAGTTTGAGCCCAGTCTGGGTGATTTAACAAGACTATGTCTCAAAATTTAAAAAAAAATTTTTGTTTGTTTAAAGGCCCTGGATTTGGGGCTGGGAATTTAGCTCAGCAGCACAGCGCCTGCTCGGCAAGCTCAAGGTTGTGAGTTCAATTCCAGGTACCAAAAAAAAATAAAAAATAAAAAATAAAAAAAAATAAAGGCCCTGGATTTAATCCTTACTGTTGAGACAAAAATGAAGCCACAACTCAAATGCCACTAATAGGGAATAGTTATCAATATAAATCAGTTACTAGGAAATATAGCAGTATATATAATGACTATATATATTGACAGTGAAAGATACTCTTTGAAAGCTAAACAGCAAAAAAAGGAACTAATGCAGTATTTTTGTACAAATAGTTTTCTTTCTACCTCAGTTCTTTTTTTTTTTGGCTATAGTGAGGATTAAACTCATGACCTTGCACTTGCCAGGCAGGCACTTATGCCACTGAGCTATATCCCCAGCCCTTCTACCTCAGTTCTTAAAAACTGGCAACACAGCCCCACAAATTCTTACTATTAGAGTTCTCACTGCTTTCTTGGGTGGAACATTAGTCAAATGGCTTAAGCTCTGATACCTTTCAAGAAATTGTTTGGCAAATGAGAAATTCCTACTTCCTGGCTACACCAAATGAGTAAACATTACTCCTCTGCTTCTCACTCTCCATCATGCTATCTCCTTTTATTTCTTTTTTCCCTAAATTGGTACTGTGGATTACTTTTTAAATGTCCAGGAATTGAGGCTGATATTGATTTTCTCTTCTTATAAGGGGTGATTTTGAGTCGTAATATCTGACCTAATTTGGGCAACAGGAAACACACAGAAAAGGTTCTGTGCCATGGCCTATAATAATGTTGACAATTCTTAATTTACACCTTTCCCCAATCTATTCCTAAACACTGGGAATAAACAGTGAAAGGGATTGCCCTACTGGTTGGAAATAGTAAAACTCAAAATTATTGGGGCTCCCTCTTTGAAATAAAAGATATTTAACACCTATCTGTATTCAGCTTAATTTACCATCAATTCTGGAGCAATGGGTTAAGTCCCACTCAAGTCTTATCTGTCAAAAATAGGTTGCAGGAAATAGAGAAAAGAAAAATTCCAGGAATGGAGAGAAAAAAATAGGAAAAGAAATATGAAGAAAAATATGCATTTTCAGATAAAATGTGCCCATGAAAATTTGAACTGGATGACCAAAACTATTTTCTTTTTCTTACGAAACTTCATGCTGAGCATGGTAGTGCATATCTATAATTCCAGCACTCTGGGAGGCTGCAGCAGGAGAATCATGAGTTCAAGTTCAGCCTGGGCAATTTAGCAATTTAGTGAGACGCTGTCTCAAAATTTTAAAAGGGCAAGAGATGTAGTTCAAAGTGAAGAGCCTGAGTTTAATTCTCAGTAAAAAAAAAAAAAAAGAAAGAAAAGAAAAAAAATGGAAGAAAAGAAAAAGAAAGCTCAGAGCAGAGAATTTGCCTAAATGTCCAATATATGACTAATATATATATATGTACGATTAAAAGTGTTTTATATACAGTTAGGAAAATAAGATTTTAAGAGAGAATTTTTACCATAGTAAGAATAAATTAGCATACTTCAGATATTAGATAAAACCTTATACAGAAAATTATAAAACTTTAATGAAAAATTTAAGTATGTTAAAAATGTGGCATCTTGTTGGGTGGAAAGACTCACTATTATATGGAAGATTAGTCTTCCAAAATCCACTCAAATTAATTTCAATCAAAGTCCTAGGTTCATTTGTTTAACTTGACAAATTTGAAAGAATGTAAGTAGAAAGTTGAAGACTCAAGAGCAGCCAACATACACCTCAAGAAGAAGATTTGCTTTACTAAATACCAAGATTTCCTATAAATTTATTTTAAGTACAACATTGGCAATGGCTTAGGGACAAAGATGCTGACTAATAAAAACAAAAAGGAGGGGCTGGGGATTTAGCTCAGTGACAAAGTGCCTGCCTGGCAAGCACAAGGTCGTGAGTTCGATTCCTGGTACCAGAAGAAAAGACAAAAAAAATTAAAAAAGAAAAAGAAACAAAAAGGAGTCAAGATCATAGAGTTGATTTATGCTAGATGCTTATTTCAGATCCCTGGGAAAAGATGGATTTCAGTGAATAACTAGCTTTTAAACTTCCTGCCTTACATCTTCTTGTTTATGGTATCATACATTTTTACATTATTTAAACTATTATTAGTTAGATTTTTCTGTTACTTGCAGCCCAAAGAATTTCTAATTGATATAAATCCTAGCATCGTACAAAGCCGTATGATTTAAATGGTCCAATAAGATGTAATAGCAAAGAAGGGAACATTACTCTTTTGCTAAAATTGAGTCTGAGTGAAGTTGTGCTTGAGGCTCTGGGGACTGGCACACACAACCTGAAAGTGAAGCCAACATAGTGGAAAAGTGGAAGATGAAAAGAAACAGTCTGGATGACAAGTTTGAATCCTTCAATCAAGACCCCTTTCCTGCTGTCCACCACGGACTTTTCAGTTATTTAAGCCAATAAATTACTTTTGTATTTAATAAGTCATTTTAAGTGGGACTGTCTTATGTAATCAAAATGATCTTGCTAGAAATGGTAGATCTAGCTCACATTCTGAAAGAGATTGTTATCATAGAAATCCTAACCATACAATGAATTTCTTAAAACGTTGCTGTCTGTAAAGATGGATGTCACTAATAAAGCCAGTGTGTAATCAACATCTATGTGAGACCAAGGAACTGCTATACTGCTTTGACTGAAATAGTTGAAGTACAGTAGTATTTGTTGTTAGAAGTCTAAGAAAAACAAAGAGATTCTTCTGCTATGTTTTGTTCAGTAAAAACAAACCTGGGGGCTGGGGATTTAGCTCAGCGGCACAGCACCTGCCTGGCAAGCACAAGGTCGTGAGTTTGATTCCTGGTACCGGAAAAACAAAACAAAACAAAAAAACAAACCTGAGGGCCATGAAAGAGACAGTGCTGTAAGCTCAAAAGGAGGGCTTAGGGGTTGAGGATTTAGCTCAGCGACACAGCACCTGCCTACCAAGTGCGAGGTCGTGGGTTCGATTCCTGGTACTGGAAAAATAAACAAAAAAAAGGAGGGCTTAATCTTGTTAACTAAATATCAAGTATAGAGGTTGTAGAAAATAAACTTTTGCCTCATCTCCTAGGTTTATAGAAGCATCTTTAACAAGTATGCAGTGTAAACTGTTTAAAATTCTGTTATTTTATTCACTAAAGAGTCTTGCTAGAATAGTCAGTTTACGAAGAAGAGAGATTCAGGAAAGTCAAAGTCAGGAGACATAAGAGATTACATTTGCATTTTCAGAATAGTTTCCAAAATGAGAGAGCTAAAAGTCAAATAAAAACTAAATGAATTGTGATAATTAAAATGGCCTATATAAATATTTCTCAAAATTAAATTTAGCATTGGAAGCTTTGTCCAAATGAAATGCTATGGAGAACTGTAATATATAAATTAGACAAATGACACATTTATAAGCAGACTTTTGAAAGTTTATCTATATGGCATTTACTTATAAAAGAGTAGAAGAGCGGGGCTGGGGATTTAGCTCAGCGGCAAAAGCGCTTGCCTGGCAAGCGCAAGGTCGTGAGTTCGGTTCCTGGTACCGGAGAAAAACCAAAAAA